TGTAAATATGAGCAAATGCATTTTCATGTCTTTACTCTTGCCTCTTTTCTATGTAAGTCCCTTTTCCTGAGTGGTTCCTGGAATGCATGAATGTGATTGTCTGCATTGTTTGTCAGGGATATCGAAGTCTTCCCCTGACCGATTGTATCCTGAATGCTCTGGTTGGATTGGTGGCTACCTCTGGCTCTAGGCTCTCTTCATTTCCACAAATATCTTCTTCCAGTCCTCCCTTCAAAAATAATAGGGTCCGCTTTTGACAACAGTGAAAGATTTTTAAAAAAATCAACCCCCCAAACCCACAAAACAACCTTTAAGTTTCTTTTAAGCATCATCTAAAACCTCAACTGTCCATTTTTGCATTTTGCTACATCTCCCTTGGTCTGTGTGTCTGTGTGTGTTCTTTTACCTACTAGCCAGGAAAATCTATCTTGTCAGTCCCTAATATGTTCCTCTCTGGCAGATGAGATGATTTTCTTCAACAATGCTTTAGCTTTATCTGCTTAGGATACATGATTGAGGGATTAATTACCCTTTTATGCCTTTTCCTCTTTCAAGATGTGTTGTCTTTTAAATTGTTGCCTACCTAGTTTGTCTTTCTAGGCCTTCTGATATATTGCCTGGAATTCTCATTATTTTCATTGGTTACTCAGGAGGCTGAGATTTGAGGATCACAATTTTAAGCCAGCCCCAGCAGGAAAGTTGCCAGACTCTTTATCTCCAAAAATAGGTAGTAAGTAAAGGACACCTTTTTTTTTAAATAGGTAGAAGCCATGTTTTTGTCTCCCCCCCCCCTCCCCAATGATTCATAAGGTAATTGGTGTCATCAAGTATTTGTTAAGTATTTATTCATAAAATCCATTAGAAGAGTCTGGTATTCCTATACTTCAGATATTTAAAGTTTGAATGTCTTTCCCTGTTTAAAAGTAACAGTTCTTAGGAATAATAGTTATGGGCTGTGGGATAAGTCATTACCTATGGAGCAAGGAATAATGTTGCATTTTTCATGGTCATGTGCAAAAAAGATTTTATATACCATTATCTTCATATGATAACTTCTGTGAAATATGGTCTAAAAGAACAATGTTGATACTTAAATTCTGGAACTTTCTCTAAATGTTTCACAGTAATTTGGATAATTTAAAAATTGCCTTTTCTAAAATTTAGACATACTATATCTTCTGGGTCAGGATCAGAGATGCTCAAAAATTTCATAACTATCTCCCTAGTAGTTAAAAATGGTTAAAGATGTTGGACATTTTTTTCATATATTATTGGCTATCTTCTTTTTGAAGACTGTCTGTTCAGTTCATTTGCTCATGTATTGATTGATTGACAATTTGTCTGGTGAGTACTTCTTTCTTTCTTTTTCTTTTTCTATTTTTTTTGTCAGTTGTGGGGCCTGATCTCAGGGCTTAAATGCTGTTCCTGATTTTTTTTCACTGAAGGCTAGCATTCTACCACTTTAGCTATAGTGCCACTTCCAGTTTTCTGGTGGTTAATTGGATATAAGAATCTGGCAGATTTGCCTGCTGGTGCTGGCTTCCTCTTATCTCAGCCTCCTGAATAACTAGGATTACAGACATGAGCCACTGATGCCTAGTCAAATAATTCTTTTTAATTCTTTATATACTCTGGATTTTGATGCTCTATTAAATGAATGGCTTGCAAAGATTTCATCTATTCATAGACTTTCTTCACTCTAATTATTATTTCCTTTGCTGTACTGAAATGAGTAATTTGATATAATACCTCTTATCAATTCTTACTAGTTCAAAAAGTTATTACCTATGCCTATATATTGAAGTGTTTGTATTTTTTTTCTAGTAGTTTGTTTCAAGTCTGACATTAAGGTCTTACCCATTTTAGAATTTTTTTTTATACAAGTTGTAAGATAGGGGTTTAGTGTCAGTTTTCTACCTGTGGATATTCATTTTCTTAGCACCATTTCTTAAAGAAACTTTTCTCTAGTGTATTTTTCAACACTTTTTTTTGGGAATCAGATGGTTGTAGCTGTGTAAATTTATTATTGTCTTCCATTCCATTGATTTGCATGTCTGCTTTATGCTGGTATCATGCTGATTTTGTTACTATGGCTGAGTATAATTTAAAATCAGATAAAGTACAACATTACTGTCATTGCTCTTTTTTTTTTTTTTTTGTAGCTCTCAGATTTTTTTTTGGGGGGGTCCGGTCGTGGTGCCTGAACTCTGGGCCTGGGCGCTGTCCCTGAGCTCTTCAGCTCAAGGCTAGTGCTCTACCACTTGAGCCACAGTGCCACTTCCAGCTTTTTTCTTTTTGCTTATGTGGTGCTGAGGAATCGAACACAGGGCCTCAGGCATGCAAGGCAAGCGCTCTACCACTGAGCCACCTTCCCAGCCCCGTAGCTCTCAGATTCTTTTATGCCCCCTTACTGAGTTTTAGTTCTATTTCTAGTTCTATGAAGAGTGTTACTGGATTTTCAGGGGTGTTTCATTAAATTTATAGATCACCTATAGTAATGTAACTATTTTCACAATATAAATTCTTACAATCCATAAACATGGGGAGGCATTTCCAACTTTTAGTGTCCTCTTTAGTTTCTTTCCTCAAGGTTTTGTAGTTTTTATTGTAAAATTCTTTCACTTCCTTGATTAAGTGTATTCCTAGTTTTTTTAAAATAGCTTATTTTTTAGGCATTGTAAAGCAGAAGTTTTCCTGATTATTATTTCTTCTCCTTCTCCTCCTCTTCCTCCCCCTCCCCCCTCCCTCCTCCTGTACTATCAGCCAATAGTGTGCAAGCAAGCATACAGAGCAGGCTGGCAGCTCCTTTTCTATCCCTATTGCAGCAGGCCCTGCCCTCTGCTTGGATTGGGTGAGTTTATGCTCACAATCTGCTCATGATTGGCTAGTTTAGGAGAGTAGGGTGTATTTACACAAAGTGACCATTAAAAGACTTTGAGATAAGATTAACAGCACACAAGTAATCTCAAAACATAGTTCCTTTACCATTTTGAGACAACCAGTTAAGATAAAACCTTACATTTCAAGAGTCCTTCCTTATCTCAAAGGATTGCCTCTTTCCCTTTCTTCACTTGCTGATTTTGTCTTAGCAGAATAATCAACCAGAGCCAAGCCACTAGGCCAAAGTAGGAACTTAAAAGCAGCTTACTTTGATGGAAAAGATGGGTTTTCTCACATTTTACCCCCTTTTTATTTTCTATTCTTTTCTTGAAACTCTTTTAATATTATTTGACTATCTCAGCTGATTTAACAATTAATACGACACAGAAGTTTGGATAGGGCAGTCTCTATTCATCTATATGGTTTCTGTATGAATTAGTTCTACAACACTCTATCAAGGAGTTATACTTTGTTGTATATGGATTTTGTATCCTGCTACTTTGTTGGAAGTGTTTATCAGATCTAACAGTTTTCTGGTGGTATCCTTAGAATCTTTTAAGAATAAGATCATATCATCTGCATATAGAGATAATATGACTTTTTTTCTATTTGTTTTCTTTTCATTTCCCTTACCTTATTCCCATGACTATGATGTAACTACATTGAATTAGAATGGAAAGTAGATGCTCATCTTCTTGATTTTAGAGGAAATGTTTTTAGTTTTTCTTCATTTGGTATAATTTTGACCATATATAGTTTTTTTCAGTATTGAGATTCTGGTGTGTGTGTGTGTGTGTGTGTGTGTGTGTGTGTGTGTGTGTGTGTGTGTGTGTGTGTGTGTGTGTGTGTGTGTGTGTGTGTGTGTGTGTGTGTGTGTGTGTGTGTGTGTGTGTGTGTGTGTGTGTGTGTGTGTGTGTGTGTGTGTGTGTGTGTGTGTGTGTGTGTGTGTGTTGGTACTGGAGCTTAAATTTGGCCTTACACTCTCTCTTGGCTTTTTTGGTAAAGCCTGGTACTCTACTGCTTTAGTCACCCTTGCATGGTCAGCCTTTTCACTGGCTAATTGGAGGTAAAAGTCTCATTGGAGGTAAAAGTGTCACAGATTTTTCAGCTAGTGCTGGCTTCAAACTATGGTTGTCAGATCTCAGCCTCCTTGAGTAGCTAGGAGTATAGGCATGAGCTATTAGTGACTTAGTACTAGCGAGGCATGATCCTTTTATTTCTAGTTTCTTCAGAGCTTTTATCATGAAAGGATGTTGACTTTTTTTTTTCTCCCTGCTGTTTTGGGGCTTGAACTCAGGGCCTGGCCACTGTCCATGAACTTTTTGTTCAAAGTTAGCACTCTATCACTTTGAGCTACAGCTCCTCTTAAGAGTCTCATCGACTTTTCTGCTTGGGCTGGCTTCGAACTGTGATCCTCCGATCTCAGCCTCCTGAGTAGCTAGGATTACAGGCATGTGCCACTAGCGCCCAGCTCCTTGATTGTGTTTTTTAAATTTTTGCTTATTGTATTATAATTGTATGTATCCTTTATGAAATCCCAGATACAAATTTCTTCTCTGATATATGTATTCTTATGAATATTTTCTTTTGATTTATGGCTTGACATTTCTTAATTGTCTTTTGAAGACTAGCCTTCTATATTTTGATAAAATATAATTTAGTGATACTTTTATTATTCATATTTTTATGTATGGGGTAACCCAAGGTAAATAATCCTTTTCCTTCTTCATTTTCTTCCATAGGTCTTACAATAGTTTTAGGTTTTACAGTTAGGTTTGTGGTCCCTTTTGAATTAATTTTTGTCTCTGGATTTGGAGTTGAGGTTCATTTTCTTCTCTTTCTAGTTATTTGTTTGGGTCTCATTTATTGACAAGGTGTTTATCTATCCTAAGTCAACTCAATGTTGACTTGTCATGACAAACTTAAGTTTCTATTTAAGATTTTATTGATACCTTGCATTCAAATATTAGTTATTATTACTCGAAGTCAAGAGATAGGTCATAGGATGCTGATGATGTTTCTCCTAGGTCATAGGATGCTGATGATGTTTCTCTACTAATAATTAGATTTTTAACTAATTTATTGTCCTCCTGTTCACTCTGATATTTTTAAATTTTTAGGTGTTACACATAATATTTCATTACTTCGAGAGGTGATAATCAACTCCCGCTTTGTAAAAGGGGACATCACCACTAAATTTCTCTCTGAAGTATATCCTGATGGCTTTAAAGGTTTGTATGTGCTAGAATATTTTAGTTATTAGAAGCTTTTAAAAAGTTATGCCTTAATATAATGTGTAGTTTTAATATGTAGAATTAAAAGACTTTTGGCATATATTATAATTGATATATATATGGAATGTCCTAGGCTATTGACATATATGAGTTATATTATAGTTGATTAATATATATGGAGTATTTATGGATGACTCATGAGTATAATAATCTGCAATTCTGTTAAATGAGAAATTCAGCTATGTGGAATGTTCTGTGAATCTAATTCTTGGATATGTAGCTAGATAGATTGTTGACCTACTGATCTGGCTCTTGAATGTTAAAGCAGATTTTATTCTTTTTTTAAAAAAATTGATTTGATTTTATTGTAAAGGTGATACACAGAGGGGTTACAGTTACGTAAGGAGGGGTAGTGAGTGCGTTTCTTGCCAAACAGTATTATCCCCTCCCTCATTTTTTCTCACTTTCCCTCCTCTCTCCCTTAGTTTTTACTCTTTACTGGCATGAATATAAATAGGAACTCAGCTTTAGTAATATATATCTTTATAAAAAGAGCACTGACATTTTCAGAAAATCAGATGCTAATCCTGCTAATGATAATGAAGATGCTTTAAATAAAGAAATGAGAAATAAATCTGAACTTTAGCACTAGAAAGTTATCAGAGTATTTCCAAATGGTAAGACAATGACTTATCAAGTGAGAAAGAAGACAAAATCTTTAATGAGCATTTCATTGTTAAGAACCTCAGGGGTTACCTGAAACTTAATAGAGATGATATGGAGGTAACAGCCAGAGCCTCTAGATGCATTGTGAGCTTGGGAATTTATGAAGGTTAGTCTTCTATTTAGTACTTGAGTATATAAAATGACTTACATAGTCATATTGGGAGCTATATGTCAATTCAGTTTGACATATGTAAATGAATTATTGCATGTATTTACAAAGAAGTTTTAATTCAGAATTTTGTAAGATTAACTGTCAAGTTGGTTTTGTACCTTCTTTTAGAATTTCAATGTCATCTAGAGTTTAATCATTACTATCGAGTAATATGCTGGTGGCTCATGCCTGTAATTCTAGCTACTTAGAAGGTTGAGATCTGAGGATCACAGTTCACCCAGGCTGGGTAGGAAAGTCCATGAGACTCTTATCTCCAATTAATCACCAAAAAGCCTGAAGTGGAGCTCTGGCTCAAGGGGCAGAACACTAGCCTTGAGTAAAAGAAGCCCAGAGACAGCACCCAGGCCCTGAGTTCTAGCCCCAGGACTAACACAAATGTACACATACTCACACACAAAGAATTTCTTTAATTTAGGCTTTTAAAAACTCATGATTTATCATGTTCAAAAGTATAGAACTTGTGGGTTTTGAAAAAATGCAAATTTTTACATTTGTAAAAATTACATCCTTAACATAATTTTAGTTTTATACTTGAATGGTTATTAGTAGCTCTTGTTTTTATGAGGTCTGAACTATTTAGATGACTGTTTTTTATTATAGTACCATAATAGATAGTAAATATTTATTTAATTCATTAAAAAGAATCTTCAAGGAGCTGGGAAGCTGGCTCAGTGGTAGAGCGCTTGCCTTGCATGCTTGAGGCCCTGGGTTCGATTCCTCAGCACCACATAAGCAAAAAGAAAAAAGCCGGAAGTGGTGCTATGGCTCAAGTGGTAGAGCACTAGCCTTGAGCTGAAGAGCTGAGGGACAGTGCTCAGGCCCAGAGTTCAGGCCCCACGACCGGACCCCCCCAAAAAAAAAAAAAGAATCTTCATAGTATGATGAAAAAGGACAACTGAGTATTTTAATTTATTTGTACATATATTGAGATAATCACTTTCTTCTGTTTTAATTCTGATATTTTGTTTGTTCTTCTATAGTTTGGATTAAAAGTTGTAGTAAGTTGTCAAGTAGACTTGGGAAATTTCAGAGGCTTTTATGTCTGCCTGCCCAATGCTTCTGTGTAGGTGATAGGATAGGAAACATCAGGCAGGAGAAAAAGGTGAAAACTTTTCAGACCTTGACCTTCAGAACAAACAATGTTATATATTTCTGTCTATATATGGATATGTTTATATGTGAGTATATATGTACATGGATATTTAACATTTCTAGTTGGGGTTGATAACTCTATATTGAACATTTAGCAGCAATGAAAAATGTTCCAAATGCTCTGGAGACAGGAATTACCTTCAAACTTAGAAATTTGCTTAAAACCATAATATTTTGGTTTTCTGACATATTTACTTTTAATTTCCTTACTCAAATCCTTTTCTTTTGGTAAAAGATTATCAGCATTGACATTGTTAACTTTTTTCATTTGCTATACTAGAAAGGATCATAGTATTTTTAATTGTCAGAAGTTGTTAAAAAGAACTTTTTGCAAAGATTAATCTCAGTTTTTCTTTTTCATGTAAGACAACTAAAACCCAACGAGGTTATTAGGCTAAATAACCAGTAAAATAATGAAGTCAGAAGTGGATCTGTGGGGATTCTTTTATTGTGGGGGAAAGGGCCCGGGATGTTGTGGGGAGGGGGAGTAGTGCTTGTGATTGAACCCAGGGCCTGTACATGATAGGCAAGTGCTCTGTCACTAAGCCAGATTCCCAGACCCAGTCCTAAGATTTTCAATTCCAGTTTGAGTACTACTTTAGTTGTGCTACTATCCAAATCACAAACTTTTTTTCAATTGGGATAAGCTACATGTCATATTGACTCTAAAGACTTTGAAAGTACATACCTGTGTTTGCCACTCTTAATGTATATTTCTTATTCTCATGTGCTATTTTCTTGTATTTTTTTCTTCTTTCTGAATGGCTATATCTCCTATTCTTCTCTAGGTTACTTTGTTTCTCCTTCCTAGGGTTTTTCCCTCAGAGCTGGTCTTACATATATTAAACTATCATCCTTGACTGTTTAATATATATGTGCTTGAAAGAAACAGCAGGAAGTGGCAACTGAAGTTAGTGCAGGATCTTCTCAATATGTTTGAGGCCGGGTCATTTTGCCCCTTCGGGATTACCCATCTGCTTCCCATCTGTCCTTTTCTTCCAATCACTGTTTATAGGCAAGTGCCTGTCTTTATTACTGCATTAAAAATCTCTATACTACGTGTTTATTTTCCCAAATCTATTTGTAGACTATAACAGTTTCACCAAAACTTCTTAGATTTGAACCTTGAGGTCATTATGTCTAAAATTTAATAATGGGATAGATGCAGCATTGTTCTTGTTAACTGTTTGGATTCTGATATTGAAAAGCTATTTTCCTTTGATTCCTAACTAAAGGAAAAAATGAAGAAGATATTTTAAGACTGCAGTTTCAGTTGTCGTGTAATGAACATTTTGGACTTATTTTTCTGTTTTCTTGCTACTCATTAGCCTCAAGCTTCATCAAAGTAATTATCAGAATTATAGTTTTCTTCTGAAAAGTTAGGTTTTTGTGAAAATTGATTCATCCTGAAAAGTATACAATAAGTTATACTTTTCCTTTATTTAGTTAAGTATATTTATACCTTTAAAAGTTATAGTAGAATATTTGGACTGAATTTCAGTCAACAAAGTCATTCAATGAAGGATGAAGTAGGCTGTAGAAGGAGATAAGAAATGGATAGTGTATTTTTTTTTTTTTTTTTGTCATTAAAGAGCTAACAGCACAGGAAAAACAATCATGGAAGAACTCACAGCATTACTAGACAGCACAGAATAAGTACTGAGTAAAGATTAAAAAGCAAAATGTCTCAAGAACAGAGAAAAAAGAAAACGACTTTGACTTAAGGAATATAGGGTGCTGTAAGGATGAGGTAGCATTTTGCACTATGAACATCTCTCCAAGAACTGCCTTTGCTGGGCGCTGGATGTGCTATATTGCATTGTGAGAGCCCATGTGTCTGTCTTCCTAAGCCATCCTCTTTGATGTCTGTGGGTCTTTTGAAATCAGCCATGGAGAATATTTTTTTCAGGGAAATTAGCAAAAGTCCCTTACTTGGGCTTCTTTCTTCCCTTATACCTCAGTTGGTTTAATCATTAAACATTTACCAACAAACCGTTGTCTAACACTTTGACTTGAGTATTGAGAACAAACAGAGCAGAGCCACTGCTGGAAGGTGGGAAAGGATGCCTATCTAGAGAGGGGACATAGAAGAATCCATGAGTATTGGAGATGCTTGGTTTTCAGCTGGCTGTTGTGGAAAATAGATGACTTTGCTCACTGAAAAATAGTAAGAATGCTTAAGTATTTTAAGTTAGAAAGACTTGATGAACAACTAAAAAGTGTGATTTTTAGACATAAAACATTTTAGCAAAACAGAATCTAATATGGTCACTGTTAAGAACTGAATGAGTGACCCCTCAAAATAAATGGGAGAAGTAACAATTAAGAGGCCATTTAACAAAATGAATATTAGGAAACTGAAACATGCTTTGAATGGGGTGAGGCTAGCTCAGGGAGGTGGATATATGGAAAAGGGAATGGTGGATGAACATAATCTTAATACTCAATGCACATTTGTGAAAAAGGAAGTGGAAAAACTTGTTAGGACTGCAAGGAGAAAGGGTAGATGGGAAGGTTGGGGAATGATACAAAAGGGGTGACCCTGTGTGCATAAATGGAAATATTAAATTGTCACCCTCTTGTACAACCATTTGTAGACAGATAGATAGATAAAATAATAAAATAAAAAACAGACAAATGGGAGAAGTATCCCAAACATGGCAAAAATGTAATGAGAATAAAATCATGCAGGAAATAAGAGATAGGCAATGTAGATACAATAGATTTTATGTATCAGTAAATATATAATAAGAATTTCATAGAAATAAAAAATAAATAAAGATAATTTTGAAAGGAATAGTAGGGGAGTGCTTTTATACTGTTCTTAAGAGAGCCTTGAGGTTATGTTGGAAAGCTTCATTGAGTGTTAGACAAGATTAGTGAAAAATAGTTATTCCTCTGGGTATCCCAAAAACAAAATGTTTTTTACATTTCTAGAAAGAAAAAAAATGATATGCAAAGTTCTCTGCTTGAATTCCCAGAACCAGTTTGTAGGTCTCATTTGTGTAAGTGTTGATGCAGGATCTGGGTTTGTCTCAACGAGGAATGGATTATTGGGTTCCTGTACTCTTCTGTTTCATGAAATACTTCTCCACAGAAAAATGGTTTGTAGACTTAAAAGAGTTTAGATGTTAATTTTGGACATTTTTAAAAGTTTGATTATCATTTGGAGTAATTTTTAGACATAAAGTTCACATTGCTCCATTTCTTTGAAATAAGTTTAGGTGGGTACTTTTTGTTTTCATTAATGGGTTGTAAAATATTGCTTCTGTTGTATACTATACTGTTTAATGCTCTCTCTACTATCTGGTATATAGTATGGTGGTAAGTAGTAGTATTAGATATTGTAGTATGGTTACAGAACTCTTGAGGGAAGTGTTCACCTGTATCCTGTACCATCTGTCATCCTTTCTTGATTCATACCACTACTTTTAGAATTCTGCAAATGGAACGGGCTTACCAGCTGGATAACACTCAGCCATGTCAAGTGGTCTTACTCTAGCCTAGACCACTATTTCTGAGTCCAGCTACATTATGATGGGAAGAGAGAGTAAGGATGATAGAAGTCCTTTGATTGATTGGACATCGATTCTTGACTGCATGTATAGAGGGAAGCAAATTATACCTTTATTCTCTTTGATTCCTTTATGTAGCAAACATAGCCTTGACTGTGTATCTCTATTTCTGCAGAAATTGGAGCTCTGGCCTTTTCTCCTCACTTTCTTAGAAGTAGGTTTTCAGGTAGTGAGTGATGACAGGAAACAGATGTTAAGAACGTAAGCATTTTGTGAGATCTCTGTGGGTATAACTTTCTCTTTGTAATTATTTTTGTTCTCCCTCCCTTCTTCCCTCCCTCCCTCTCTCTCTTTCTCTCTCAGTATGTGCCAGTTCTGGGGTTTGAACTCAGGGCTTGAGTTCTGTCCCTGAGCTTTTTTGTTCAAGGATGGTATTCTACCCACAACTCTGTTTCTGGCTTTATTAATAGTTAAATGGAGATCATAGTCTCATAGACTTTCCTGCCCAGGCTGGCTTTGAACCAAGATCCTCAGATCTCAGCCTCCTGTGTATCAAGTGTTATAGGCATGAGCTATTGCCACCTGGCCTGGGTATCTCTTTTACGATTTTTTTTCTAACTGAGCAAGGTTTATTGTCTTATTAGAATGTTTACACTTCTCTCCCGTGTGCAATACTAACTCCATAATAGAAGCCTGATGGAATACTTGTTTTTGACTTAATAGTAGCTTCGGACTATAGAAACACAGATGTTAACATTATATATGACTGATTGATTGATGAATTTATTTCCCTTAGGACATATTTTATCAAAGAGTGAGAAAAACCAGTTATTGGCGATAGCATCATCATTGTTTGTGGTATCCCAGTTACGGGCACGTAATTTTCACCAACATTCAAGGTATGGCAAATCTTTTAAAACGGAATGAGGAGAAAATACCCATTATTTTATCTGTATGAAAAAAACCAGTGAAAGATCCGCTGATCTCAGTTCTAGATCTTCTTGTGGGCCTTTGGGGAAGTATAATATAATCACACTTCTTAACTATAACATTGCAGATATTTCATTTTAACAGTTTTTTAAGTTCAGAAAGAGAATCTTGTTAGTAGAGATAAGACGATACTGTGAAATTTGATGGGAAACGCACACATCTAGTTTGTATTTGTTATTTCTGTTTTATGGTTTCATTAGTCTTGAAAATAGTTTTGAGATAGAGTATTAGAAATGAATCCAGGGCTGGGAAGGTGGCTCAGTGGTAGAGTGCTTGTCTTGCATGCATGAGGCCCTGGGTTCAATTCATCAGCACCACATAAGCAGAAAAAATCGAAAGTGGCATTGTGGCTCAAGTGGTAGAGTGCTCACCTTGTGATGAAGAGCTCAGGTACAGCGCTCAGGCCCAGAGTTCAGGCCTATGACTGACAAAAAAAAAAAAAAAAGAATGAATTCAGACCAGTATTTTTCCCCATCCCATCTCCATTTGATGTCAATAAAAATATACCATTGGTCATTTAGTTTAAAGAAAAAGAAAAAGATAAAAGAAAAGCAATAAGTATTTACACATATACCAGTTACTTTTATGCAATAAAGGAATGGGAAAGGGGAAAATGAAAGAACAGAGAAAACTATATTGTAGTAGTCAGGATGTGGTGGAACCAAATTGCAGTTTTCTAATTCAGAATGTATTCTTGGTCTGTAAGAACAAAGTTCTGGAGCAAAGTAGCAGGTCCCTTTTTTAGTAGACACCTCCTGTGTCTGCTTCTGGAACACACACACACACACACACACACACACACACATGCACACACATGAATGAATCCATATAGTTAAAAATACATATAAACACATATAGATATCAGAAACTATGAAACTATAGATACAAATGGGCAGTAATGCCAGGTTTGCATAATTATTGCTAAGCACTAAACTATTCCTCTGAGCTTCCAGATTGTGTTCAATTTCGTTTCCTTTTCCACAAGAAGAGCAAAGATTTAAGAAGAAAAAAGAAGATGGAAAGTGACCAAGTAGCTTTGAAAGCACAAACCACCAATTTCTATTATTTCTTAGGAAGCAGGTAGATGAGGAGCTAAATTGAGTTGAAGCTGGATCTCTCCCCTTCCATTTTTATTTATGTATATTACTAGTATAAAGAGATTTCGTTGTGATATTTCCATACTTTCAAGTAATATTCTTTGATCATATTCACCACTTCTATTACTTTTTTAATCTCCTTACGTCCATTTTGAACAATTCAAAAAGCTTTTACTATTCTGTTTTCATATAGTGTATGAAGTACTTTGATCATATTTGCCCCTCATCCTCACTCTCTAATTTCACCCTGGTCTGTATCTTAATGGCTAATATGGTTTGTTCTGTTAAGAGCAAGTTCAAGAAGCTTAGTATATAATTTTTTGTAAAGTTATGATTTGGTGTATGTCCAGGGAGAGATGAGGATTTAGAGTATTAATAAATTATGAATGATTTGGAAGAAGAGGAAAATGGTTGAATCGGTTGTTTTCCTGTGGTTGTGATGTCCAGGAAGCAGGTGCTAACTATTGGTGGCAATTAAAATTAAACCTAAAATCTAGTGTCTCAGTTATACTACCTATATTTCAAGGGCTTAATAGTCACAGGTGGTTAATGGCTTCACATTGGGCAACACAAGAACCTTTAATCATGACTTCCCTATTTCCACCAAGTTCTATTGGACACTGCTGATTTAGGGAGATGAATAGGCAGGAAAGAGCTGAGCTTTGGTTTTCAAGCGCTCACTTTATATGTTGCATTATCTTTTTATTATTCTCTGATTATCTTATCTTTTGTTACTATTTAGAACTTTATTATTTTACAATTCCAAAGTATAGCTAAAAATAAACTGATGTGTGTGTGTGTGTGTGTGTGTGTGTGTGTGTGTGTGTGTGTGTGTGTGTGTGTGTGTGTGTGTGTGTGTGTGTGTGTGTATGTGCCGGTTCTAGGGCTTGAACTCAGGGCCAGGGAGTTATCACTGAACTTATTTTTTGCTCAAGAATAGTGCTCTACCACTCAGGCCATAGCACCACTTCAGGCTATTTCTGAGTAGTTTATTGGAGATAAGATTCTCACAGACTTCTGTCCAGATTGCTTCAAACCATGATATAATCTCAGCCTCCTGAGTAGCTATGATTACAGGCATGAGCCACCAGTGCCCAGCTAAACTGATTGCTTAAAAAAAATATGTACATACATTATTTTTTGAGGTAGCTGACTTATTTTGGGTAAGACTGAATAGAATTAAAACAATAAAGTGGCCCCTGGTGCTGGTGGCTCACATCTGTAATCCTAGCTACCCAGGAGGCTGAGATCTGAGAATCAAGGTTCAAAACCAGCCCAGGCAGGAAAGGCCATGAGACTCTTATTTTCAATTAACCACCTAAAAACCAGAAGTGGAGCTGTAGAGAGCTAGCTTTGAGCAAAAAAAAACTCAGGGACAGCTCCTAGGCCCTAAGTTCAAGCCCCACAACTGACAAAAATAAATAGTTTCTCCTATCCGTTATTAAGAAGTCTTTGGAAACATGTGGCTTGGGAATGGAGTCTGAGAGTTGGCGGCCAGGTGTGGCTCCGTAGTGTTCTGGGCATGTTGATGTAATGTTTTTGATTCCAAACCAGTAGCCCACAGCCCTTCCTTTATGTTACTTGTTTTGGCACTGGTCTTATTTTCCCAGTTTCTCTGTGGATTTTTACTCTTTCATCATTTATGAGTTGGAAAAATACATTAATGTGTGCCCATAGTATTTAGATAGTAAAATGATAGCATGTATTTTAGAAAAAAAGAAAAATTAATGTCAGAAACAATAGCAGTCTTTTTAGGATGACATACAATAAATTTGGTGGACATAATTGCATAAATGCACACTGACTCTGAAATTACTTTTTGTTACAATTATTCTTTTCACTTGGGGTTAGGGTGAGAGTGTAACTCAGTGTTAGAGTGTGTGCTTAGCACGCATGATGTCCTGGGTTCAATTCCCAACACCCGAACAACCATTAAAGTAAAAACATTTTCAATCAGCAGTAAGTAATCTTTAAAAGCACTATTAAATTGTCACTTTATATTATGTGAAACTAAAGTGATTGTGTTGGTATAATAGTTTGGTATAGTAATTTGTTTCACTAATTGATAATAATTATACGAAAAAAATAATAAGGGTAATGTTTTATTTCCTTTCAGTAATCCTTAACATATTTTGGCTAATAATGCCTGTTTTCCTTAGATCCAAATGTTGTTCATGGATCAGGAATTCTTTCTGAGAACGACAGTAACCTACTTAATGCTGGCTTAGGTCCATCCTCACTACTCCACACTTCTCAGACACTAGGGAGAAGGCTCTTCTCCCTTTGCCACATAGTTTTACTTTCTCTTTGTCCCCTTTTTTTTCTCTGCAATGATTTCTTTCTTTTGTTAGGTTTGTAGCTGTGCAATTGTCCTCATTCCTGTCACTCAGCTTTCCTAATTCCATGATTATTCTCTTTCTGGTAAGCTATCTAATTTGAGATTATCATGATACTGTTTGTTGTAAGGTATATTAAATAGGTAGTTTTCATTAGGTAGCCAATGAGGAGAACACCATGCACTATTCAGGCAGGAGAAGAAGTTTATTTACCGAACTGCTGCCCCCACCATGCATGGTGGAGAAGCATGGCTGAAAAGGAAAAGGGAGGGGGGGACGACCCACCCCTGGTCAGGACTTATCTAGGCCAGGGACAGGAGGAGGTGTGGCTAGGTTGGGGAAAGGTGTGGCCACACTGGATCTGGATGTGACCTCAGGGTCTGGGACCCTCCTGAGGTCATATGGGAGGCCTGTGACCAGAGGGGGCCCAGGATGTGACCTAGCAGGAGGGGAAGGTGACTGCTTTCAGGTCTGCCAGTTACCTAGGTAACAGATACTTGGCAGAAACTTAGCCAAGAGGGAGGAAGGTGTCCCTGTTCAGACCTTACATTTGTAGTATTGGAAGTTCATCTTTCCTGGTAGTGGAATGACTGATGACCACACCTCTCATCCCTAATAGAGGGCATGCTTGGCATCTTTTAAGAAATAGGGAAGGGACCTGGTGAGAGTAATTCCCAGGCTCACTTTTAGAGCTCAGTCCTCAGGACTGAGTGTGTACAATATTATCTACTTTCATATAATATATATGTTTCAAGGTTTTTAAAAGTAAATGTTAGCTGGTCACCAGTGGCTCATGCTTGTAAACTTAGCTACTCAGGACACTGTGATCTGAGAATCACAGTTTGAAGCTAGCCCAAGCAGAAAAGTCCCTGTGAGACTCTTATCGCCAATAAACTATTCAAAGTGGTAGAGTGATAGCTTCAAATCCAAAGAGGCTCAGGGACAGTGCCCGAGTTCAAGCCCCAGGATGGGCAAAAAAAAAAAAAAAAGTTGACTCTGTTATTTTATAATTTTTTTTGAGATACATAGTAAGTTAAATTTTGTTGGACTTCTTTTCTTTCTTCATTTTTTTTGCAATCACCATTCCACAGAGGATGTGTTCAGAATCCTAAACATTTATTTTATAAATAAATAATTAGAAAATAATTAGCAACATTTAACATTTAATCCTCAGGATTCACTTGTGGTTATAAAAAAAAAAGAAAACTAATGAAAGTTATTTTTTGCAAGAAAAGATACATAATAAAATTTACCATCATAACCATTTCTAGTGGTGTCAGCTCTAACCACATTATTACTCAATTGCTCTAGAACCTTTGCTTTTTATAAGATTGAAACAAACACTATATCGATTGAACAGTTGCTCCTGGTAACCACTATTCTACTTCCTGTTTTGATAATCAAACTTATTTACTTCAGTATTTGTACTTCCTTTATAATAAATCTCCCTAAACTTAAAAATTCAGTGTAATAACT